CTGCACCGGAGCTTCGGGTTCGGATCCTTGCAAAGTTCGAGGATCCTTTCCAACATGAGGGTGCTTCTCCCAATTATGCTCCCTTGTGGGGTTCTTGGCACTTCATATTTCGGGTACCCAAAAAAGGACCATAATTCTGACAACTACCCATGTAATGTTCTAGGAGAGATTAGGGCCTGCTGAGGGTTTCTTTTGCAGGAGAACCGTGCATAAGTACATACGGACAAATAGACGGATGGACGGACTGACCGAGGGACGGACGAACAGACAAACACTATATAACAGTAGTATACATACACGCATGTACACACATAAATAAATATGGTCACACTTATAGATATACATATTACACTTATGGATATACATATTACACATATATACTTTTTGTATATATATATATATACACATACGTACATACACATACACGTATAGATGTATATACTATACACACAGGCACACATCGAAGCAGAGTCTGGGGCCTGGGGTGGTGGCTGAACGATTTTCTGTCTTATATGATCTACAGGTTTCTCCAATTCCGGCATATTTTGGGAGTTCGAAGTCTGGGGCTTTGGGAATCGGCTGCTCCCTGCACCCTAACTACACCCCAAGTCAGCTTAGATAAATAGGCAGGCGAAAAACGGTGCTGAAAAAAACTAAACCCTCAACCCTAAATTCTTTCCCTACACCCCTGAACCCAAACTAAATCCTAAACCCTAAACCCTAAGCCTTTGAAGCGTGATGTTCACCCTTAAGACCCGGCGTGCCGAGGAGAAGCTGAAAGGTGCCATGACTGAGGCTCCTTCAGACGGGCGGGGTTTGGGTATATAGGCCTGACCTTTTTTGAAGTACAGACAACAATTAATTATGTATATGTATATGTATATGTATATGTATATGTATACGTATATGTATATGTATATGTATATGTATATGTATATGTATATGTATATGTATATGTATATGTATATGTATATGTATATGTATATGTATATGTATATGTATATGTATGTATGTATATGTATATGTATATGTATGTATATGTATATATGTATATGTATATGTGTATGTGTATGTGTATATGTATATGTGTATGTGTATGTGTATGTGTATGTGTATGTGTATGTGTATGTGTATGTGTGTGTGTATGTGTATGTGTATGTATATGTATATGTATATATATATATATATATGTGTGTGTGTGGATATTTAGAGAAGTATATATATATATATATACATATTTGCGTATGCATACATATCTGTATATGTGTGTGTGTATGTATATGTACATATTAATGTATTTTCGTATGTATTGATATTCGATTCAGGAGAGAGCAAGAGAGAGACAACGAGAGAGGAACCCCATCGACTGAAGGGCAGTGGAGTCTGTCGGTTTCCGGTTTTGCTAGCGCAAGGACTGCAGAATTGGGCTGACAGCATCGAAGAAGCCTCTACTTGGAGGTTCAGGGGTAGTTATAAGTGGGGTTATACGTCCTCTAATATGAGTTCTAAGTATAGCTACCCTGATTATAACCCCACTTCTAACTACCCCTGAACCTCCAAGTACAAGAGCGAGGGAGAGAGACAGGAACCCTTTAGACTCTAGACTTTAGGCTGAGGGTAGTGGATTCTTTCGATTTCCAGTTTTCTTGTCCGGAAGACCGCAGTAAAAGGGCTCATACCGTCGAAGAAGCCTCTACATACGGATTCCGTTGCTAATGTATTTCTTGTGTGCTTGTTCCAGGCTCCTAGGGCTGAGGAAAATCCGTAAACCGCAGATATTATGCTTTCTTTGCTGGCCTCCCTGTAGATGTGAAGTTTCGAGTTTAAGACAGCCTGTGAGTGGGGGAGTTGTAGCAAAGAATTGGCCCTACAAAACGTAGAGCTCGAAAAACCCATAAACCCCAGACCCCAAACTCTAAGCTCAGATGTAGACGCCCACTCCCCAAAAATTGAACCCAGGGTTTTGACACTCAAAAGCGTGAACTCCGGCAACATAATATTTAACATTGTTTCGTAATGGTATTCCCGTATCGCCCCATTTTAATACTCTGGCGTCACAGACCCTGAACCCGAAACTCCAAATCCTTAATCCCTAAGCCCCATAACCCCTAAACCCTAAACCGTTCTTCCGGTGCAGGATCTCTTCGTCACCGACGAGGCGCCGTCAGATCTCTTCCGAGCCCAAAGGTTTAGGGTTTGGGCTTTAGGCTTTGTAGGGTTCGGCGTTTGGGGCTTGGGGTTCAGAGGTTTAAGCTTCGGGGTTTAAGGGCTGTTCACGGTTTGACTTTGCCAGTGCTGGTCATTGCAGGCTCCTAGGAGTAGCAAGTGCGATACAGATTCGGAGCTATTAGCTCAACAAAAAAAGAACCCTAAAGCCTCGTTGTGTTTGTCGCGATGTTGACTGGGGTCTGGGTAGATGGGGCTTGGGGTTCTATGACTTATAGAGGTAAATTAATGACTAACTCCGGTGTAGGCTGTGGTGCGTTTTGATGTGAAGCTCGGCTACGTTGTAGTGACCCGGCTGTTGGATAGTCACTTGAAGCCATATATGATCGAAGTCCGAAGCTGTTTTTTGAGACTGGGGAATGCTCAATGCATTCGAACGTTGCACGTATATACTTGTAGGTCGTAACTCCTTGCTCGGGTTCTGCCATCTGGCCAGCGAATTCGCCAATGGTATGCTTGCTGGGGGGCTAGCAGGATAGCACTTCTTTCAGCATCAGCTCGTCCTCCATGCAACTGGTGGCAATGCTACAGAGCCGGCCGATAACCTGACGTGTGGTTGTGCAGCACATCCTTCAATTTTGACTCGGTCGTTTCCTGAATGCTTGGTTTCGTAGCTCATCCCTTGTGCCGTCTCGCAATTTCGCCTCGGATCGCCAAGCGTAGAGCATCATTGTTTTCTGCCGTGTATACTTAGCATCAAATCAGTCCCGCCCGGGTAGTGACCCCAAACTCTGAACCCCTAACCCTAAGCCCTTACCCCCTAAATTCTGAGCTCTATGATGCCCTAAACCACCAAAGTGTAAACCTCTCACCCATCCCTGAGGCTCCTAGTAGAAAAACATTATGCCGAACTTCAGAGCCCTCAGCATATTAAGGGCTCATAAGACTTTTGGGGCTTATAGGCTCGAAGGGTTTAGGGTTTAGAACTGCGGAAGCCCTGCCCGTGGTGAATAAAAAGTTGGGCTCTCGTTGTTGGAGTTGCAGTAAACCTGAACATAGTACACTAAATGGTAATTAGGATCTGTTTTAGGTGGACTCCCCCTGTGCAAGGCACGCTTCAGAGATTTGGAAAACCGTCAGATTTTTCTTAGTTCAAGAGCTTGTTAAGCCTACGCATGGGTGCTAAACAGGCTTTTGCTGCTGTTCAGCAAGAGATAGCTTATTCACGGTCCCTGTTGGCGGGAATCTTTGTTTTGACGGGAGTCCCACATGGAGAGCAATCCAGAAAGAAGGGATTTCCGAGAGGTCTACAAACTCGTCGCAGCCGGTAAGCCTTTCCGAGAGGCTTGTGGCTTTGGCGTTTCCTGCTGGGTTCAGGGATTTGGGTTTAGTAGATGCGAGGGCATGCAAGCATCGTACCTCAGGTTTGGGCGTTATGAGCTTTATATATTCTGCGTTGCCATGGCGTTTTGAATCTTCGGCTTTCGCTTGTTTCAGGACGAGTCAGAGGTGTAGCAGCGTCGAACCTGCCGGAACCGCACCTTCCTTCAACAGGACTTGATGATCGAATCCAGCTGGACTCACATAGTCAATAGTTCATCGAGGGGAATCCTGGGGGCGCCTGAGGAAAGCGAATCTCAACTCTGAGTTAACAGCCCCTTCTGAAGCCTGTATGGCACGTACTCCGTCCAAAGGAAGAGCTATTATGGTTCCTAGTGTCCTAGTGAATGTCTCAATCCCTTCCGTGTTTTCGGGTCAGGACCTCATTGTGTCTCAAGGACATTCCAACCGGGACAATGAGCATTATTTTTTGGCTGATAAAGAGAAATACATCTAGTACCCTTACAGTACCCTTATTAATTATTAGTTGTTGTTAGAAACCCTTACAGATCCCTTAGACTCTTGGACCCCATCTCGGATTCAGGAACAATGCCCCCGCTTTCTTTTCGCACGGACGGCTGCTTGTTTTTTTCTAAATCCCCTGGCCCAGGAAGGACGAACCCGGCTGTGCTAGCTATCTGTGGGTGTACCTGGACCCTAAACCTTTAAACGAAACCTCGTAGCCCTCGAGGTTTCTGTAGCACGCGCAGGAGCTGGTTCCTTAGCAGTTTTAGTCTTCAGGCTTCCTTATTACAATACGATTTTGGGGGCTCCTTACTATAACTATAGTATAATGGGCCCCAAAGCCCTATTCTATGTATTAAGGCCCCTATATTGCATTTTTTGGGAAGCTAGCTACTGGAGTCCAGCTATAGCTATGATTAGACATGTGTATGATCGAGACCCTTAAATTCCAAACGTAAACGCTAAGCCCCTAAGCGGCCATGCAATGACGCTAGCGTCGCACATGCCCAACCCCCTAGACCCTCAACCCTGCAGCTTCGCCGAGCTAATCGTAAACCCTAAACCTTCAGCCATCTTAAGCCGTAAATACTTACCATCTTCGTCACCAGGCCTACGGTGAGGCGAAGGAAGCCTTTTTCAAAAGGAAGGCCGAGCAGGCTGGAAAGAAGTGGCTCTTAGGGTTTTGGGTTTGCAGTCGACCAGTTCGTGTGTTGAAGTGCTTGAGTGGGCTCTTCGTATTTTGTGTTCATGTGTTTCATGGGCCATCGTGAAGACAGTATACTTGGAGGTTCAGGGGTAGTTATAAGTGGGGCTAGAAGTCCCCTGATTAGGGTAATAAGTACAGTTACCCTAGTTATAACCCTACTTGCAGCATCTTATAACTACCCATGAATCTCCAAGTAGTGAATCAGTGAAGGTGCCACCCGCCAGCTCTTCTCCTGGCTCGAGCTGCGACCTCTGCGCTGCGTCCGAATCGTTGACATCGGTCGATGTCGTCGATGCAGGAGCATACAATGACGGCAGCGCCCACGACGATGCCGATGGAGTCGCATCTACAGTGGGAGCACGACTTACAAATGCCGGCAGTTATGTTTCTGAATCACCCAAGTGCACCGGTTCCGGACGATGGTATGTTCACCGGCGCAATCAACCTGGAGTTTGCGGATTTCACCGCGGTGCACAGGGTTCGCCGCCTCAGTGAAGAAGAGATGACCAAGCTTTGTCGACAGATCCATGAGGATGTTTCTGCATCGTCGGAGTCTTCTGAGAGTTGCCCACCAATTCAGCGATGCAATGGCATGCAAGTCGAATCGGGGCCTGATGCTGCGGACGGAAGCCTGAGTGGCGAACAGTTTCACCTGTTTTCCTTCACGCATACCACCCGAGGGAACTGGCAACGACCGCTGGAAGCATCCGAGAACATGCAAGGAAGTCTTTGGTGTGAGCCAAGCTCATCGCAAGACACCATAATATCGAATTTTGCCAGCCCCGACACTGAGAACTCCCCAAAGCCAACGGGCTGCATAGTTCTCTTCGAAATGGTGCGGCCTCACAGAGTCCAAGACCTTCTGCCATCAAGCTGGGCCGGCAAGGCTTCACGCGTGAAGACTTGGATGTGCTCAGCATACCGGCCCAGCTCCAGACCGCGGGAGCAGTGAGATGTTCGAGTCATCGCATTTTCCAAGAACTGAGTGTCGATGTGGAGCTGTACATGTGCTTCGAGCCATGTCAGCAAGTAACATTGCTGCAGGGCTCCGTCCAGTTGTCCGTCGTCAGAACTCCCTTGGAAAGGTTCTATCAGAGGCATCGGTACCAACAAATCACGTCGACAGTTCGGAGCTGCGTATACATACGTTAATTGTGTAAAACCTTCTTCACATTCCGTAGATTTCCGTAGTTACGGCTTTCTGCTGGGCTGGCAGAGTGCTTCAGCCAGAGCGCAAGCCTTTGAGGAACCTGCAGAGTACGTCTATGTATATTTTTCCCGACAAGGCCTGTTCTTTTTCATCTTTATAATCTCAGCAAGCTCAGCTTGAGGAGAAAACCTCGACCGTGACAGAGCACCCGCGAAGTCTGTGCAAGGACCATGCCGGTTGCTGATATGGCACCCCGATGGCAACGTTGTAAGCCCTGCAAATTGCATGATGTTTGCAGTGTCTGTTTGTTCTGGCATTTATTTGCGTGTGCTTGACGCTCAACAACAGAAAGCTTCCAGTGCTCTTTCCTTCGGGACCGCTACTGTGCTAGTGGTATGAGACCAAATCACACGGAACATACGGTCATGCAGTTGTATCCTTTCAACCTCCAGCACAGAGGCACCCGGATCACTGCCAGAAGAAACCTGGAATTCGCAGAATGTGTTTGTCACGCTTCTCCTTTCAAGACCGCCGGTGAGATGTTCGAGTCATCGCATTTTCCAAGAACTGAGTGTCGATGTGGAGCTGTACATGTGCTTCGAGCCATGTCAGCAAGTAACATTGCTGCAGGGCTCCGTCCAGTTGTCCGTCGTCGGAACTCGCTTGGAGAGGTTCTATCAGAGGCATCGGTACCAACAAATCACGTCGACAGTTCGGAGCTGCGTATACATACGTTAATTGTGTAAAACCTTCTTCACATTCTGTAGATTTCCGTAGTTACGGCTTTCTGCTGGGCTGCAGAGTGCTTCAGCCAGAGCGCAAGCCTTTGAGGAACCTGCAGAGTACGTCTATGTACATTTTTCCCGACAAGGCCTGTTCTTTTTCATCTTTATAATCTCAGCAAGCTCAGCTTGAGGAGAAAACCTCGATCGTGACAGAGCACCCGCGAAGTCTGTGCAAGGACCATGCCGGTTGCTGATATGGCACCCCGATGGCAACGTTGTAAGCCCTGCAAATTGCATGATGTTTGCAGTGTCTGTTTGTTCTGGCATTTATTTGCGTGTGCTTGACGCTCAACAACAGAAAGCTTCCAGTGCTCTTTCCTTCGGGACCGCTACTGTGCTAGTGGTATGAGACCAAATCACACGGAACATACGGTCATGCAGTTGTATCCTTTCAACCTCCAGCACAGAAGCACCCGGATCACTGCCAGAAGAAACCTGGAATTCGCAGAATGTGTTTGTCACGCTTCTCCTTTCAAGACCGCCGGTGAGATGTTCGAGTCATCGCATTTTCCAAGAACTGAGTGTCGATGTGGAGCTGTACATGTGCTTCGAGCCATGTCAGCAAGTAACATTGCTGCAGGGCTCCGTCCAGTTGTCCGTCGTCGGAACTCGCTTGGAAAGGTTCTATCAGAGGCATCGGTACCAACAAATCACGTCAACAGTTCGGAGCTGCGTATACATACGTTAATTGTGTAAAACCTTCTTCACTAGTTACGGCTTTCTGCTGGGCTGGCAGAGTGCTTCAGCCAGAGCGCAAGCCTTTGAGGAACCTGCAGAGTACGTCTATGTACATTTTTCGCGTCAAGACCTGTGGCAAGGCCTCCGAACGGAAGGCCACAACTTAGCTGTCAAGTTTCATGCTTTGTAACTCTTGTCAAACTCATGAAAGCTAGCATCGTCCTTCCGATCTGCCAGAGTCAGACAAAAACCTGGAGCTCGCTCACTGATTACAGATCCGTTCAAGAATTTCGGATTTTTTTGCACGGACTTTGGTGTTGCACTGCAAGTCTCGAGCTTGGACACAGGAGCAAGCTTCCAGCGCTCTTCCCATCGAGCCGGCCCCTGGTTCCCTGATACGGATCCAAAAGAGTCCATACAAACAACTGGTATTCTGGAATGAGGTTCCCAAAGCCATGGTAAGGGTGGTCTCTCGGGACCTAAGTTCATACTGGTAGCTTACATGGACCTCCTGGGGATCAATCGCAGGGGGCTGCCCGCATGAGGATCGGCATGTAGTGCGCAAGAAGTAGCAAGGATCTTCAAGAGATCTGGCAGAGCATCTGCAAAGCTTGCAGCTGAAGTTTCGAGAGCGGTGCAGACGAGGTTGCAGCTACAGAGCAGACGCAGCCAGCTTGTTTGGAGGTTGAGGGTGGGGTTGTGCTGTAACTGTAGATGATTCGCGACCATGTTTGCTGCATAAGTGATGGCTGAAAAGCCCGCATCCTTGAATTTGTGCCGCTTCGAACAGTGTTTCAATTTTTAGACAAGCAAATCAGCAAATAGCCGTGGCCAATGGGACACCACTCCAGAGAGATCACGAAGATCGACGAGAAGAAGTTTGCAGCTGTGCATGCCGGATGAGTTGGGAACAGAGGCTGAGATGTTGCTATCGTTGGCTAAGTAGGGGTTTCCGAAAATTAGGGGTCCCGTATTTTGGGGTCCTTACAATAAGAATCCTACTATGTAGGGTGCTCTATTAGGGTCCCCTATTTTCGGAAACTCCCAAGTATACTCGGTGTTGTTTTTAGAACTTGGCACCGACCTGGACCATCACTCGAAACTCGTTAAATGAACCTCGTGGTACGTAGCTTAACCCTGAATAACCTACCTTTTTAGGGTTCCCTATTAGGATTTCCTTATATAAGTCCTTAAAACGGTAGGTTCTTCAGGGTTAAGGTAACAAGTATGTGTGCGTGCGGGGCTCAGTACGGCTGCAACCGTGCTTTTGCATCGTGGCGAAGCTTTGCTGAGTTTAAGAGAGCATGTTGGTAGGTCATGTCTCGAGGATCCACTGCATGGCCGTGCGGACAGTTTTGCATTCGCTGCTGCATCTACCCTACCTCCTTGATACGACGTGATGCAGTGCTGAAGGTCGGCTGATGGTACCAAACCTGGCAAGACAGTAGGTCCTGACACTTTAATTTAATGGATGATACGGTGTAAAACTCCAAGACAGGAAGCAATTGGAGCCGCAAGGAGGCTGCGAAGAAGTAAGGTCGCTCAGGAAGTAAGGGACCCCACGGACCAAGGCCTGTCAACCCACAAACCCTAATACTGTAGCCCTTCTCCCTAAACCCGAAACCCTAAACCCCTAAACCCTAAACCGTTTCTCCCCAAGACTGTCAAACTTACTAACACCTCTGGTAATATGAGCTTGGGAGTACCATACTTTAATATCTTTTTCTTAAAGGAACCATTATGAAATACCTGGTTACCTAAAAGCCCAGAAATTCTACAAATTCCTCCCCTAAACCTAAACCCCTAAACCCTAAACTCCTAAACCCTATACTCCTAAACCCTAAACCCTATTCTGTTCTCCCTATGTCCGCTGCACTTGGCACTTGCTCGCGCCGCAATGGCGAAGCAAAGTCCTGGCGAATACTGCAAGGCTGGGTTCTTGTTAAGGGGTTTACAGTAGTTGGGTTTAGGGTTTAGGGGTTTAGAGTTTATAAAGGGGTTTAGAGTTTAGGGGTTTAGGATTTAGGGTTTAGGGGTTTAGGGTTTAGGGGTTAGGGGTTTAGGGTTCAGGGGTTAGGGTTGGTGGGCCAAGTATGGCAGTCTTCCGAGCCGGGGTAAAGGAATCCTTTTTGGGGTTCCTTGAAGGGTAGCATAAGGGTTCCTTTGGGGATACATGGATGGTTGTCAAAATTATGGTCCCTTTTGGGGTCCCTATTATGATACGGCACCTAATATTTAGGGTACCGAAAAAGGGACCATAATTTTGACGACCACCCACATGACTCTTGGGGTTGCATGGGGTTTACGGCAGAGGGTTGGGAACCTGAGCTAAGGGGCTGCATGGGGGTCCAGCTTTAAAGGTTGACAACGTTAAAGTTCAAGACCTACAGGTTTTCCCAGGGTTTACGGGTTGAGGCATTACATTGGTTTTACAGTTCTTGGATCATAAACCCTGCTTCAAGCATGTAGGGTTCAGATGTACGTGCGTATGTGTGTTTGTGCGTGTGTGTGTGTGTATGTGTGTGTATGTGTGTGTGTGTGTGCGTTTGTGTCTGTGTCTGTGCCTGTATTGTTTCTGATCTGTTACAGACCGCACCCCGCAGAATTACGGACCACCCCCCCATACACCCATACACATGCTCAGTGTATCGATTGGTACAGATCCCAAAGCTGAGTGCATTGCACTCAGCGAGCGCTTGGGGCAGCGTGTGGCTCTTGATCCCGGGGTCTAGAGGGTTTTGTTGGGGAGAAAGCTTCACTCTTACCCGGAACCTCCAGCCCTGCAACCTCAATTCCTGAGCAACCCGAATGCCCTACAGGCCCAACAGTCGAATATCTCCCAACCATCACCATCCAGGCCATCGCAGCGTGTGGGAGGACACCGAGTGCTGCGATTCGTGGGTGAAGGGTTTTTCATCCAGACCCAGGATGAAGTTCTAGCGTCACTGGCTGTTAAGGTAAGGTCGAAAGCCTCACAGAGATCTCTAGAAGTATTGGCGGCTTTCCATCTTCGAGCCGAAGAATGTGGCTGAAACTTCTCCGGAATCCTCTCGAACACAAGGAAGTCGGGCGTAGTCAAGCCCAGCCTGGCCTGCTCCCGCAACCCTAAACTCCCCAATGGGCTTTAGAGCGTACTATAGCGGCCTAAAGTAACCTATACTTTTTTTGGTGGTTCCCGAATATTATAATTATAGAGAAATGTGGCCCAAACCCCTATTTTGATTCTTAAGGCCCCTGTAGTAGGCTTTAGGGTGTAGGTCTCTCTCTGTGTCTCTCTCTCTCTCCCTCTCCTCTCTTTATCTCTTTATCTCTCTCTCTCTCTCTTTCGCTCTCTCTCTC